GATCAGTGCTTAAAAAAAAAAAAAAAAAGCACTGACACTGTACTAATGGCACTGGGCAGGAACGGTTTAATGTGAGGGGCAATCAAAGGATTAACTGTGTGCTGGGAGTGTTTTACTAGGGGCGGGGGAGGGGGGGTTCTTCACTGTAAGCACACTGATCGGGATTAGCTGTACTGTGCACAGCCATCCTGAGCAGTGTGCTCGAGCTGACAGGGAGGAAGATTGTTTGATTGTATGTAAACAATCTAACTCTCCTTCGGAGATGCTTGGTAATCACCGGCCGGGACCTGGTGTTTGACATCCACGGCCGCCGGTCACCCTACCCAGGAATGCAGAATGACGTATATATATGTGATCCTGCGCACAGGTGCCGCCCTGTAGCAGTATATCTGCTACAGGGCGGTTCTTAAGCGGTTAGGCAATGCACGTTTGCATCTATTATTGCCTTTGTCATGCTTTGTGCTGCCTTTTATTCCGCTATAAATATATATTTCAAACTGATTACAACAGAATCTCAGTAATTCCACTTTTGCTGAGAAAAAAAAACCCAATACTCCCTGGGTAAAGAATGTACATTGCAGGGATTTTAACAAACTTTGTTGCAAATTCCTATCGGTTTCTGTTTGGAAGAAAAAGCTGTTTGTATTCTGCAGAGTGAATCTGAATGGGAATGACTCATTAATAATCAGTTGATGTACCTGCAGTTATTGAATGAGGAAAGATGCTGTGTCTGCATCCCGTTTGATTAACCATTTGCAAGTTTCATACCAAAAATTAAATTTTTGTTTGTGGATTCCTAAAATCTGACTTGTATCTTTGTGCAGACTTCTGGGAAAATAAGTAAGCCAATTACACAAGCAGGTAATGACATTTCTGGCGGTGTTCTGTACCTTTTTTCTTTACAGAAAATTACAGCACTGCAGATTGAAAAGGAAAAGTAATTTTTAATAACCTTCAATTACACTTTGGCTTGTGTAGCAATTTTATATGCTATACTTTTTTTATTTGGCATTTTTCCCCACAAAAGTGGAATTGCTTTTATCAGTGACTGTTCATTGCATTTTGCGTTCTTTAAAATGACACCCCAATATTGTAGCCCGTCCACTGTCGGAGCTTTTTATTTAAAAAAAACAAAACAAAATGTATTTGTATTTACTGTCTGCTGACTGTCTAAAAACTAAGATTTGATCATTTGTAAAACCATCCTGTTTTCTTTCTGTAATCCAATCACAATGATGCCATAAAGTCTGGGATACGTTTTAATTACACTGGTCAACAAAAAAAAAATTTAAATTCTGGCTTTGACTTTAGCAGCTGTTTTAGACTAATTTCAGATTTGCTCTATCAGATCTCATTTTTATGCTATCAGCATACCCCATTTTCATTGATTTTACCCAAAACTAACTCTTTGTCACTTATGATTGCAAGTTGTTGTGAGTCAGTGACTGCTTTAGTGTTAAAATATGGTGCTGCATTTTTAGGATAGTGTGTTTATAATATAATTTTATGTAGATATCCACATATATTTAATATTTTGCTTCTGAAGGGCGTGATCTAACAATGGCTACAACATCCGAAAGAAGGAAATGCAGTAATGACCCAGATATCTTCTGCTACATCTGTGGCAGCTTCACTTTGCAGGATCAAAGCCGCAACATCAAATACCTTTGTCAAGAAGGTTTATCTTGCCTACTTTAAAGTACGACTTGGAGACCAACACAAGAATTGGGCTCCTCATAAAGTGTGTAAAACCTGTGTTGAAACTTTGCGATCATGGTCTAAAGAATAGAAAGCTAAGCTGAAGTTTGGTGAGCCAATGGTTTGGAGAGAACCTACAAACCATTTGGATAACTGCTACTTCTGCCTTGTCAATGTAAAAGGTTTCAATAAGAAAAACAAACAACACTTACAATACCCAGATATCCCATCTGCCAGACGACCAGTTGAGCACTGTGAGGAAATCGCTGTGCCTGTATTTACTGAGCTACCAATAATTGATGTTGAATCCCTCAGTTTACCTGCTTCTACAGATGATGATGGTGCTCAGATCGAATATACGCCATCTGATGCAGATTGTGATACAATTTCTCTGTTTAATCAGCCTGAATTGAATGATCTTGTAAGAGATTTGTATTTGCAAAAGCAGTCTGCTGAATTGTTGGCTTCCAGGCTCAAGAGAAAGGCCTACTCAGACCTGGCACTAGTGTCTCATTTTATTGTAAGAGAAACAGCACTGCAAAAGTACTTCCATTCAAATGGTCAACTTGTTTATTGTAATGATGTTGAAGGGCTTCTTCTCAATATGGGACTGCCCGAATATGATTCAAGTGAATGGAGACTTTTTATTGACAGTAGTAAAAAGGAGTTTGAAATGTGTGTTACTTCACAACATAAATATACAGTTGTGTTCAAAATAATAGTGTGCTGAAAAATGTGAATAAAGCTCAAAATCCTTCTAATAGCTTTTATTCCCATACATACAAATGCATTAGGAACACTACACATTCTATTCCAAATCAAAACATGAAGAAAAATATATCAAATTTGTGTTGTTCCTCTAAAAAAATTGAAAAGTGAATATTAGACTGTTCCAAAAAATAGCAGTGTTTGTGTTCTTCTTTACAAAACGCAAACATTCACTATATAAACTGAAAAATGTTTGAAGATTTTGCTTTCCTTTGAATCACTTAATATTTAGATGTATAACCACTGTTTGAGAACTGCTGTACATCTGTGTTGCATGCAGTCAACCAACCTCTGGCACCTGTGAACAGGTATTCCAGCCCAGGATGATTGGACTACATTCCACAGTTCTTCTCTATTTCTAGGTTCGGGGATTGGGCTGGCCACTCCATAACGTCAATCTTGTTGGTCTGGGACCAAGATGTTGCACGTTTACTGGTGTTTGGGGTCATTGTCTTGTTTGAACACTCATTTCAAGGGCATTTCCTCTTCAGCATAAGTCAGCATGACCTCTTCAAGTATTCTGATGTATTCAAATTGATCCATGATCCCTGGTATGCGATAAATAGGGCCAACACCGTAGTATGAGAAACGTTCCCATATCATGATGCTTGCGCAACCATGCTTCACTGTCTTCACAGTGTACTGTGGCTTGAATTCAGTGTTTGGGGGTCGACAAACTGTCTCGGGCCACTAGACCCAAAAAGAACAATCTTACTTTCATCAGTCTACAAAATGTTGTGCCATTTCTCTTTAGGCTAGTCAATGTGCTCAATGTACTCACAGGTAACTTTAGACCTTCTTTGATCTTCCTGGAGCTGCTGATTGTTGGAGTCCTTGCCATTTTGGCTATTCTTCTATCCATTTGAATGGTAGTTTTTCGCTTTCTTCCACATCTTTCAGGTTTTAGTTGCCATTTTAAAGCATTTGCGATCATTTTAGCTGAGCAGCCTATCATTTTGCACTTCTTTATATGTTTTCCCCTCTCCAATCAACTTTTTAATCAAGGTACGCTGTTCTTCTGAACAATGTCTGGGACGATCCATTTTCCTCAGAATTTCAGCGAGAAATGCACTGTAACCAGCATTTACAACATTTGCTGCCTTCCTTCCTTAAATAAGGGCAATAATTGCCACCTGTTTTTCAAAGAATCAATGACCTCACTAATAGAACACCACACTACTATTATTTTGACCATACCCCTTTAAATTAGTGAGTCAATTACACAGAATCAGCAGCATGCATGTCATGACTGTTGGGTCTGTTGGATTTCTATTACTCTATTACACCTGCTAGTAAATTATTTGCTATGTTAAAATATCATCATTTCTACCAAAAACAGTGATTGATCAGGTTAGTGATGTCTGACTGCTATTATTTTGAACACAACTGTATATGGTTCAATCCCAATAGGACACTCTGTAAAAATGAAAGAAGAGTATGCCAACATCAAGATTGTTCTGGATAGATTAGAATACCATGTTCATGGATGGGTAATTTGTGTTGATTTGAAAATGGTTAAATTTTCCGCTGGGTCAGCAAGGAGGTCACACAAAATACCCTTGTTTACTGTGGTACTGGGACAGTAGGGCTACATTAGAACACTAGGTTAAAAAACTGGCCAACAAGAATCAGTCTGACGCCTGGTGACAAGATCATCAAGAATGAGCCTCTGGTTGATAGGAATAAAATTGTATTTCCCCAACTACACATAAAACTTGGGTTAATGAAGCAATTCGTCAAAGCTCTTGATCACACTGGAGACTGCTTCAGCTACATATGTTAAACCTTTTCACGTTTCAGTGCCAAGAAGAAAAAGGCAGGAATATTTGATGACCCTCAAATAAGAACACTCATCAGGGATACACGCTTTGTTACAATGACTGCGGCAGAGGCTAGAGCTTGGAATGCATTCTCTGATGTGGTGTGGAATTTCCTTGGGAACAGGAATGCGGACAACTATCAAGAGATTGTGGAGGAGCTGCTCTTGAGTTTTCAAGCACTTAGATGTAGAATGAGCATCAAGGTTTACTACTTGCATAGTCACTTGGCCCAGTTTCCAGAGAACATGGGTCAAGTGAGCGAAGAGCAAGGTGAATGCTGTCATCAAGACATTAAAGTTATGGAAGAACGTTACCAAGGCTGATGGGACTCAAACATGATGGCAGATTACTGTTGGTCCTTGATGAGAAACATACCACAAGCTGTACAATCGGAGATCATCAAAGAAGAGGTAGTTTATGCAGATGTAACATCACTATTGTGAATTACCTTTTTTGTACATATTTTTCTTATCTTCACAATTCAATTCTTACATGGCAATACGCATTCACTCACATTGATATGCAGTCACTTAAAACTTTGTGCTATGGCTCATTAAATGTTTGTTTCATTATTATTGTATATTGTATAATATCTTGTATGTATGCCTGTAGAGCTGTTCGTATAGGAGCATAAATTTGCTTTTTTTATTGAAAATGCAATATTTGATATCTCAAAAACCTGATGTGATAGACAAAAACTGATGTCAGACTTACTTATGTGTACATTCAGTTAGTGCTCCCTTCAACCATTTTTCTTTGGTGGTTTGTTTCAGTATATTTTCATATTCTTTTTGCAGGAGAAAAAGTGGCTTAAGAGCATTTTCAACATAAAATGAAGGCTTTGTTGGTAAATCCTGCAGGAAAAAAAAAAATATTTTAGTATTTGTCTTAAAAAAACATTTTCTTAGAGTGCATTGAGGTACACAAGAATGCAGAAACAGGTTATACTGCTCCCTTTAGGAGGCTAGATCACTGGCAAACAGAAAAGCTGTACACTAGCCCCTGTATAACCCTCTCCCCTACCCTGAATGCCTGTGTGAGAGTTTTGTGAGCAGCAATACACAGGCACCAGCAAAAAACACAGTGGGACTTGTGACCCTCAATGGAAAAAAAAAAATAAAAAATTTTTGTTCTCATCCATCGAGGGATACAAAAATTCAGAAACATTTAGGATGTCCAATAGCAGTCCAGCTGAGAGGTGGGCAACAGCTACTGACAGATCCAAGAAGGTACTAGGGACAGTCTGCAACTCATGACTACCAGAAGGACTAAAGAATATGGACCAGACATGACTTGAAAAAGGGGTTCTCACACTGAAACATTGTGGGTTACTTCCAGCTCCATCTGCCTCCAGGTGTCCACTTCCCAATGAGTTACTTTCTTTGTACTATATGTTTCTATGTTTACAGTGGATAAAAAAAAAAAGTCTACGCACCACTGTTAAAATGTCAGGTTTCTCTGATGTAAAAAAATGACAAAGATAAATCATTTCTTTCCACCTTTAATGTAACCTATAAACTGTACAACTCAATTGAAAAAAACCCAAATCTTTTAGGGGGGGGTGGGCGAAGTAAACATAAAAAAAAACTAAAATAATGTGGTTGCATTAGTGTGCACACCCTCTTATAACTGGGGTTGTAACTATGTTCAGAATTAAGCAATCACATATAAAATCATGTTAAATAGGAGTCAGTACACAACTGCCTTTGTTTAAAGTGCCTATGATTAACCCCCAATAAAGTCCAGCTGTTGTAGTAGGTCTTTCCTGACATTTTTAGTTGCACCCTACAGCAAAAGACATGGTCTGCAGAGAGCTTCCAAAGCATCAGAGGGATCTCATTGTTAAAAGGTATCAGCCAGGAGAAGGGTAGAAAAGAATTTCCAAGACATTAGATATGCTATGGAACATAGTAAAGACAGTCATCATTAAGTGGAGAAAATATGGCGCAACAGTGACATCACCAAGAACTGGACATCCCTCCAAAATTGATGAAGAGAAGAAAACTGGGTCTGGGAGGCTGCCAAGAGGTACTGGCTGTGTGGTACATGTAACAAGAATTTCCCATATTCTTCATATGCCTGGGTTATGGGGTAGAGTGGCAAGATGGAAGCCTTTTCTTCAGAAAAACATCCAAGCCCGTCTAAATTTTGCAAATTTTGGTGGTGGCAGCATCATGCTTTGGGGCTGTTTTTCTTCAGCTGGACCTGGGGCCTTAGTGAAGGTAGAGGGAATTATGAACAGTTCCAAATACCAGTCAATATTGGCACATCTTTCAGCATGACAATGACCCAAAGCAGACAGCATAATCAACAAAAGAAATGGCGTCACCAGAAGAAGATAAAAGTTTTGGAATGCCCCAGCCAGAGCCCAGACCTGAATCTGATCGAAAATCTGTGGGGTGATCTGAAGAGGGCTGTGCACAGGAGATGCCCTCACAATCTGACAGATTTGGAGTGTTTTTGCAATGGAGATGGGGCAACTATTGCCAAGTCAAGATGTGCCATGCTGATAGACTCATACCCAAAAAGACTGAGTGCTGTAATCAAATCAAAAGAGGCTTAAACAAAGTATTAGTTTAAGGGTGTGTACACTTATGCAACCATACTATTTTAATTTATATTTATTTCCCTCCACCTAAAAGATTTCAGTTTGTTGTTCAACTGAGTTGTACAGTTTATAGGTTACATTAAATGTATAAAATATATAAATATATAAAAAATCCTCCTGTGCTATATGGGAGTATATCAAAAATATATATATACTATGAAGCAGCTCACACTCAAAACTGAACCTTAATCAGTGAAATAACTAATAAATAAATTATATAGTGCAGCGCTAAATATACCAACAAATTCATAAATAAACCCCACTTAAAGTGACAAGTGCAAAAAAAAATGTGTGTATATATATATCAAATACTGTATGATATAAAGTATAATATAAATATATATCAACCCCTCAAACAAATATATAAACCACACTTAAAGTGACCAGTGCAAAAAATGTGACCAAACTGATCCAGATGTAAAATATCAAAAATATATGTTTATATATATCAGAGTAATAAAGTTCATAAATCCTCCAATTAGTGCTCAAACAACCAAAATTTCATGCAAAGTGATGAAAGTGATGGTTTCTGTGTTGGTGTCAGCACACTTATCCTCTGTGGCTAAAATGCCCCCTCACCTCCACTTTGCGACCCAAATGGGCCACTAAGCCTCCAGAATCAATCCTAGATCCTTAGCCAGCAGTATCTGGTATCCTCTTTATTCCTCCTGTGGTTCCCCTCTCCGGTAAGTGATCTGAACTCCAGACTTCCCAGGATTGAAACACCAGCTCTGCATATCACTCACCATAAATCATGGTAAGTGAAAAAAAAGATCCTTCATAGCGCAGTATTTTAGTGGATAAATCAGACTCTTTAATAAAAAATGCCCACTCACTTGGTATACATCAATATCACTGCAATCCTGATGTCAGGTGGTATAGTGACGCCACGCATAGATACGCCGTGACGCAGCTTCCGGTCCGCGGTGATGTACTTCCGGTACGGGCGCCATCTTGGCACTCCCAGAAAGAGTCCTAACCCATGCAGTACACCCAGGCATGAGGTTTTATGCTGTTTGACGCTGTGATTGGAGGATTTATGAACTTTATTATTCTGATATATATAAACATATATTTTTGATATTTTACATCTGGATCAGTTTGGTCACATTTTTTGCGCTGGTCACTTTAAGTGTGGTATATATATTTGTTTGAGGGGTTGAGAGATATATATATATATATATATATATATATATACACACATACATACATATATATACATATATATACATACATATATATACATACACACATACATACATATATATACACACACACATATATACACACACACACACACACACACAGTTTGGTCACATTTCTTTGCACTTGTCACTTTTAGTGTGGTTTATTTATGAATTTGTTTGAGGGGTTTATAATATATTGTTATATTAGGCATAGGTTCTGATAATTCATCAGGACCTTAGGTCACATAGGTTTGGATCACGTATATCGGAGCACATTGTTGCACTTTATCTATATATTATTTTGCATTATTTATATATTATAAGGTTCGTATACTTAGCGCTGCACTATATAATTTATTAATTAAAGGTGGAAAAAGTTCTGAAATTATTTATCTTTGTCTAATTTTTTTACATCAGAGAAACCTGACATTTTAACAAAGGTGTGTAGACTTTTTATATCCACTGTATGTGTACATGATCTCCTCATTGTATCCCTAGGTGACTGACCTCTGCTTTCAGTACTGTGGTCTGAATGGTGAGATCCTCTATGTATGTTTATACCAATATTTTGAATATATATTTTCTATGCTATTAAGGGCTGGTTCACACTGCCGCGATTTCAGGTGCAATTTGGGAATTGAAATCGTACCTGAAATCGGATCTAATGAATGTGAATGTGAGTGTCTTAACATATGCGATTTGCTGCACCGCGATTTCAAAAGTAGTTCTTGTATTACTTTTTCTGCAGTTTGTTGCAATTTCACATAGACTACAATAGAAATTGCGCTGCAAAACACAATGGAAAATGCAAGAAATCGTTGGGAAATCTTCTGAAAAAGAGGTAAACAAAACGTGCGATTTTAAATCTCATCCAGTGTGAACCAATACTAAACAATATATAAGCAAATATTCAACCATTTGAGCCCCAGAAGGTTTTACCCCCTTCCTGACCAAGCCAGTTTTTGGTATTCAGCACTGCAAAGTTTTAACTAGTAATTGTGTGGTAATGTAACACTGTACCCAAATTAAATTTATGGTCCTTTTTTCACACAAATAGAACTTTATTTTGCTAGTATCTCATCACCACTGGGTTATTTTTTGTGACAAACCAAAAAATGTGAAGACCCCCCCGATATTTTCTACCTTTTTATAAAAAAGTATACAATAAACTTGGAGGATTTATGGCCAAAATGTATTCTGCTACATGTCTTTGTAAAAGAAAAAAAAAAATCCCAATACGTGTAATTGGTTTTTGTGAATCTAAATTGACATATTATTGAATGAAAATACTCATCATGCCAACTAACAACTTGAAGACCAAGCCTTTTCTGACACACTTTTGTTTTGCTAGAAAAATTACTTTAAAATATATATATAATATTTGGGTTCAAAGTAAAGGCCCTGCAGCCACTGAGAAATACTGTGCGAGCTGTGATTGGTCACAGCTTTTCACATGATACAAGGCTGTTGTGAGTAGCCTCGTACCATGTGACCTCTGTGATCATTCACAGATTTCACAAGTAGTAAGCAATGATGTCAGGAAGTGACATTTTGTTTACTACTATTCATGTGATCACTGATTGGCCAATCAGTGATCACATGAATCAGGACCTCACACAGAGGTCCCATGCAGGGATCTGTGTTCCGCTGTGACCTCTGGACACAGCGGGCACCGATCGCGGTGCTGTGCACTCACAGGAAGTACGCACAGGCAATGGATGTGGGGGAATGTTTAGAAACGTCCACCCGCATCGGCAGCGCTCCCATCCAGCCGTTTATTGGCATGAGCTGGACTGGAAGAGGTTAAGCATTTGATCACACCAAGATCTATGCACTGAGCAGATATTAGCACTCAATCCCTTAGGCTTAACCCTTATAACAGTAAAATCCAGCAGGAGTGGGAATTTGAAAAGGCTCTCAGCAGTGGAAACGATTTACCTTCCAGTCCTTCAGCTAGACTAACCTTACTCACCAAGTGGGTCTTCAGAAACTGGGCCACACCTGGGGCTATGTCCCTGCTTCGGACCTAGCAAGCGCTCTGCGGCTAACTCATACTGTATCCAAAGATTTGGAAAGTGACACAATGAAGTGCCCCGGGCACAAAGTTTACATTCAAGGCTAGCCCTGGGTCTGGGCACGGCCTTTAAAGCGAATGCCGAGGAAACACTGATCTGGATAGTTTCTATACAGAGATCAGCTGAGGCAGTGATGTAACAAAAATCTTGACTGAGGTAACAGGAAAAAAATTCCTCGAAGCAGGGAAAACAGACTTTTTTCAGCAGAGCTGCAGAAAAGGTGTTCAGCCTCCCTACGACACAGCAAAGAACTGAGCCATGCTGGGTAGAGGAGTGGTTAAACAGTGGCTGGCTTGCAATTTTGCTGTTTGCCAGTGTCGCAACTTCTTGAAGGAGGCTGTATAACTCAACTGTTTATGAATGCATGTATCCTTTAATGGGTGAGAACAGGAGAAGAAAAAAAAAAAAAAAAAAAGAAAAAAATCATATTTCCAGACCTTCACTTTTGAAAACCTCTGTGTAGTGCGAGTCCCTGCTATCAGAATACAATAGCACAACAGGGAGGATTCCACTATCCACCTCGATTGGGTAGATGGGGGAATCGGTTATGAATCGGCCCACTGATGGAAAAGAAACTGACCCATGTATGTCCAAGCCCAGCTTTACACACTGTCCACTCTCTCTCTCCCCCCAAATACAGGGCACATCACCACCAATCTTCAACAGTGGGAGACTGACCTCTACTTGAGTTTCTCTCCCAGAAGATAACCAGAGAATTTTACACTTCTCACCTAAATTTTTCATTAGTACCAAATGCCAAGAAACCAGTTTAAAAATCCTATCAAGGTGGTGGTACAGGACTGCACTTGTAATACATACATATTAATCAGTCATCAGTGATTAATGCTGGAGATGCCAATTAGATAAGGGCTCAAGAGTCTTTCGTGTGTTCTGGTCATGGTCCAAATTAAAATCTTGCAAAAAAGTTACAAAAATATCACAAGAGTTCACAGACTTCATCGTACCAGATGACCCAATCCTCAGACACTTTCTAAATAGGGATGAGCCTTGCTAGTTTGGAGAATGATGAAAATAAATAGGAAAGGATACATTTAGCAACAGTATTACTACAGGTGCTAAATGTGGCAGCTTTGTTCAGGGCTGCTGATTGCTGGGAGGCCAACATCCATGGGCATCCTATGAAACCTGGCCAATTCAGCTGTCAGCCAGAGACTCTCAACTGACAGACAAATGTAAATAAAGAAGGCAAAAATACAGCATGGGGTCCCCCAAAAAATTCCATGACAGACCCTTAGGGTCAGGCCTCACTTTAGGAAGATACTTCTTAATGTACACACACACATACTAAGCTACTCCCATCTGTCTGCCCGTGGCAGCCCACCTAATCCCATATTCCCACTCTGGCTCTTTACCATACCAAGCCCCCAATTTCTCTTCCTACCTCTCCCTCTACGCTCATCCTGAAACAACTTCCCTTGCTTAGATCCTCCTTACACCCTGTCCGATCTTGATATTGAGAAAATACCCAGAGTTCCGTTTTATATCCTCTACCAATGCTACATACTTACAGAAGATCAAAACATATCCTGACTATCTTATCTACAATCAAGGCACCACTGATATTGTAAAATGTTTTATTGACCAAAATATGGAGCCAAAGCATGGTCTGTCCCTTGTGATGTATGTTTTGTATGAACGCTTTAGGTCCTTCATTGTAAAACTGAATCTTTGTACATTTCTCATGTTCTATAAATAAATAGGTTTTTTTTAAAAACCGACTGGTTGACCGATTGGATGAGATATTCTGATTTAAACCAGCCATACCCAAGATCTACATAATTCATATTCAGAAATTTATCTGGTCAGTCACATTTTGTATTTCCTACAAAGTTTTTAACACTACATATTACCTGAATATCAATCACCTGCAGACTTAAAAAAAAAAAAAAAGAATTTTGACTAACCTGTAAATCCCATAGCTTGGGGTACAGTACAGGACAAAGACTGGATATTCATAGACCCAGGGTTAAAAGGTTACAATCTTCAGTTGATTATAACACAAGAAAGGTGGTTTGTGTAAGGCAAAACGTACAGTTAAAAAAGACACAGGCTGTATATTCATAGAACCAGGGACATCCCAAATCAATGAATCTGAGGGGGTGGGCAACAAGGCAAAAAGAACCATGCCAACAGGCCCATCAAAATGGACAAGAGTCAAGGACAAATTGACAAGGGTCATGAGTGCTAATACGTAGCACTGCTATTGAGTGCTAGTGAAAGAACCTTGCAGTCAAATCCCATTTGTCTTTCTTGAAAGGTCACATTTTAAAGAGATAATGACCCACAACAAAATCATACTTGCCTTATTGGTTCTTCTGTAAAGCCTAGGGACTTCTAGGGTGCTCTTCAAGTAAACCAGGCAGGATTCACTAAGGTCCAGAGAGATTCTGTTATTTATGACCAAAAGAGGTGCTGATAATGAGGTGAAAATATCTTCCAATGCTCCTAAAACATATGGGTCCAAAATAAAATGGAATACTTGTGACTTAAAATGTAATCCCCAATAATTAACTTTTCTTATTGCTTAATTTTGGTCAGTTAAATATACATCTGAAAGCATTTTTTTATGTCTCTTCAATAAGTGCAACGAAAAATAAAATACCTGTTTATTCTGCCAGAAATCTTATCAGCTGACAACATCTTGGGCCTCTACTGCTTGGAACAATGAAACGGATGAGAGGGCTGTGCAGACTACAAAACACCTTCTCCTATGTTATAAAGGAGAGGAGAGGGAAATATATTCTGCATTTCGGCCCTAGGATGACAATGCTACTCTTGCATAGTTACTGTACATGTAAGCCTTGTCACCCTAGGACAGATAGTGTATTACTGGCAGGATTACTAAGTGACATTAAAGAAAGACAAAAAAGGAAGGCGGCCGGTGAAACCAGCGGTGGTGAGGACAACGCTGGAAGGAGGGACAGGGAAGTGGCTGTACTTTAAAAGTCAGCAGCAACAGTTTTTGTAGCTGCTGACTTTTTTTTTTTTGAGCTGGAACTCCGCTTTAAATGTGTTATTAGAAGCCCAGGAGATGGCTTTGAAAATCTGAAACCTCATTCCTGATGCTGTAAAGACCATGAAGCACTAACAGATCTAGTAAAGTGAGCCTTTACAGGGAAGGGAGCCTATCAATCAGACTAAAAGCCCTGATACGTTTTCTGATCCACCTATCAATGACAAAAGAAGAAATCCAATAGCCTGAAGGAGACAGAAGGTGAAAGTGAAACATAACAGTCAACATAACGCCTAGAGTGGCGAGAAATTACCATCGAATGTTTTAGAGGACACAAGGGTGGAAGGACAATATTCTGGTTAAGGAGGAGGATACCTTAACATAACTTTTTCCTTGTGCAACACTAAAAATTTATCTTTACATTGCCAAGGCCATTAACTCAGATACTATCCACAGAGAGGTGATCACAACAAGAAAAGCCACCTTACAAGTAAGGTCAGATAAGGGAATAATTTTAATAGGTACAAAAGTGTTTGTAGAAAAACGAAGAACCAGACTAAGGTACCACAGGGGCGTAGGAGAGTGCACAAGAGAGATACGAGCCATGCCCTAAAAAAAGGCCTAAACTAAAAAGATAACGAGAGGCCAAAGATCTCTGAAACAGAGCTGCCAAGTCTAAGATTTGTCCTTTTATGGCCAAAGCCAGATGCTGGTCCAGAGCGGACTGGAGAAAAGACAGAACGCCCCATGGAGTAGTTTCTAGGATGAAAGTTTGACTTGAACAAAGTAAAATGAGCCTTCCAGGTACAATAGTAAGCGTTACTAAAAGTCAACTTCCTAGCCTTCAAAAGGATAGGTATGACTGAAACTGAATGGTACCTGTCCATCAGAAGTCCTCAATAGTAAAAAGGGTCTTATTCATCACTTCTGATTGCTTCTTTATCAGATCTTCCGACCCCGGGAAGGGTAGGGGGTGGGAAAAGGATCTAGGCACTTTGGCAGATGATGTTTGGGATAACATTTTGGAGCAAGTCCTGATGGTTTCTCTGTCAGCCACCCAGAGACTGACTCAATTATTCATAGTGCAAAGATCTTACCGCACCCCCACTAAAACTTTTCTGTTGGCATAGGAAAGATAACCCATACTGTCCCCGATGCCAAGGATCTCTAAGCTAGTTAGAGACTGGCGATTGGTAATAGACCCTACCTTTCGTGTAGGAAACAAGTCTCTACTGGATTAAAAAAAATCTGAAATAGCAAAAAATTACCATACCTGTTATTACTGCCATATTTTTAAAGCCAATGAGGCTGAGCTTGGTCTCAATCATGTCAGTTAATTTTGGTATCTAGAAAAATAAGTACAAATGAATAAATGTGGAGCAGTTACTATAAAATAAGTACAATTGTATCTTATACGGGATTTGAATGATTTAAAAACAATCTGAAAGGCATTAACAGCAAATGAGGGAAGTTATAATGGAATCACTACAGCAGTGTTTACTAAATGTCTAACAGTACCCGCTGGACTTGTATGTTTTATAGAAAAACTGAAGCAGGCTTTTGTAAGGTAGTATAAAGAAGAATCATTCAAAATAAACTTATGGAGACTCATCAGATGCGGTGTCAGTACCTGGCCACTTACCAATTTGTGACAAGTGGCTGGTCAAACTCACACCGCCGCTCTGTCACTGATACGCAACAATGAAACTCTCAGCCTAACCCTGCACAAAGAATTTCCAGCCCATAGTGCCAGCAAACACAGCAATTATCGCTGGGTATGGCTAACTGAACAGGTAACCACTGATACTCCAAATCAAGCACTACCATCTGATTATTTTGTTGTAAATATCAAATGTTCACATTATTAACGATAACAATTAGGACTTAAAATAAAATGTCTAACACACAATGTCACCACAGACAGCTATATCCAGAGATTTATTATATGGTAGCAAACAGAAAGGGACTTGAAGTTCTGCGTTACTGCATCTGAAATAACGTTGCGATTTTAAAACTGTTGCATAAGTAAGCAGGTAAAATGGTGTAAACAAAAAAAAAATGTAAAGAAAAAGGGTTTTAAACGTAGAAATACTTAGCAGAGTCCTGCTTTCTGAATTCAGCAGGAACTCAGTGAGCATAAGAAGGATCGGTGATTCTCATACATCTTGGCTGACGTTCCTTGTTTGATGGTAAAAGAAAGCTCCAGACTGCTGATCAGTCACTCTTTTCTTGTCCCTGATGAGTGTGTGGACAGAAATGATCTGGCCACTCAGGTGGTTTGAGGAGTGGCTGATGGAATGTCACAGTGTATACGACGATGTAGCCGTCACTCCCTCAAAAAAAAGTTTCATACAGATACGAGTATCTTCGAGTACTTACAGCTTGCATCCTGGTAACCACTATAATATTGTCCAGTATGAAATTTTCGTTTGAATGAGCACAAATATGATGGGTATAAGATGTCTGTTTCACCTAAAAGATGTAATATGTCCAGCTTGCCTCTAGTACATTCTAATATAGTGGTGTTTTGGGCTTAAAAATGCTACTAATCAATTAATACAGGTTAATTTTTCTGGCGGTACCATTATTTTCTCAGGAGTTATAAAATACACTGAAGTTTTGATTGCAGAAAGAGACAGACAGAAATGTGTATTTGTTAACTCCTCCAGCTAAGCTATTTATGACAGGTGATTAGGCTGATACTATTATCTAGGAAGGTTATCTGATTAAGATTAGCAGTTACTTAAAGTTGTAAACCTCAGACATGAAATATGAACAAATCATATTGCTCTATAGTGTGCACTTGTCTCAATCCAGAGCACCAAGTGTCATTTTTGTCTGCTGCTTCGTCACTTATGACACGTTTTCCTGACACCAAGAGAAAAAAAAAAAAAAAAAGGTGACAGGGGAGGGTACATCCAGTGTCCATCTCAGAGCTCACCTCACAAATGCAACTTCAGCTCCTCGTCCACGGTTTTTAAGAGCTGGGAGATCCTGTGTAAATTCTGCACTTTGAATGGATAAAGGGTACAGATGACTGTACATATTCAGGTACAACTTATGTAGGAGGATTGGTTTCATCTCTATGTATCACCTAAGACTATTCACTATGTGAGGGTTTAGAATCACTTTAAGCCTGGATTTAACAGTTTTATGAAGACTATTAGCCCGAGAGTGGGATGTGTATCAGGCTAGTTTCTGTTAAGTGTGTTTATGATGGCTAAATCAAAGGATTATCTGTTTGCCATGCTTTCTTTTGATGCTGGTTAATTTGCTTAAGAGGAACTGCTGTGTCTATCAAAATGCTGATAAGGATATTTGCAATGCAGCTAAGAGGTTGCGAATATAGGAGATGCATATTCTGGGATAATAGAAAGGAAATCATTGATGTTACGTGTCTCCTATTCTACTAAATGTCATGGCTGACTTAGGAATTCTGAATAACACGGCTGCCCTGTTCCCTCTGGCACAGCTTTTTGGGGTGCCCAGTCTGTATTATCACTGTGACCAACATTTAGAACACTATAATTGTTTAATTACAGATTACTACTGTTTGTACAAATACATTTGCCATATTATCTAATGTTTTGCTCATTTCTTAGAGATAGTTTCTTAGGACCAAACCGTTAAGCCACAAAATCTTGCTATGGGTGATTGCAGAAGAGCTGATGAGGGCCATCAGACTTGCAGGACCTAGGCAAGTTTTATACAAGAACCTGTTCCCATCACTAGCTGATTAGAAAGATAAAGCAGCTCTTGGAGAGAACCCTCCAGGGAGAGATGAAGGGAAATGGATGTTTTTCTTTGGTCTGTCCACACTCCATGTTGTTTCTTGTATTCCATTTTTGATTAATTGCTTTTGCATCATACCCAGAATGAGTTAATAAAAATATGAAGACGTGCATGTAAATGCTGTGTATGTATTATAGAACTGTACTCACAATATTCTTTTGTTTTTTTATCTTAGCTTAGCCTTGGTAGAGGCAGGGATAGTATGCAATTATTTCTTTGTACTAACAGCACCTGTTTCTGCTATGATATAGTTAAAAGTCAAATACTTCTGTCCCATGGGAAAATAACTGTTGGTTACTTGTAACTGATTTCAAGGTCTGAGAAAAATCATGTTCACAGCCTTGACAAGCATCTAGCAAAATTCTATTGTATGGTTTTTTTGTTACAATATAAGAAGAAGAATCTACGAATAAAGATCAGATCGTCTTCTGGAAACCTCTGTGTGTGCATGCTAATTTTCTTCCAGAACATGGTCTCTTGGATCCAATTGGGGCCTAAGCCTGCCAGTGTATTATTAGAAGCACTTATCCCTTTCGAATTGGGGGCTCGTCCCGGGATCAGATAGTCATCCTATCTGGTAAGTATCTGATTTATATTTTTTGATATTTACGTGACTAGGCTCTGGCTGAGTTCCGATGCCCACATACTTTGGGAGTATGTTTTAATGAAAGGGTATAGTGTAAAAGATTGCCGGCCGGCATAAGTACTTTTGGGAAGTACTGAAGGACACGGGTTGTCCAGAAAATGTGTATGTACTTTTGGTGAGTACAGGTACTTTTGGTAAGTACTTTTGAGGACATTGGATGTCCAGGGACATGGGTTGTCCAAGAAATAAGAAAATATTGACACTGGTAGGTTTGGGCTGCCAAAATTCTGTTGCTTATCTTTCTGTCGCTTAAAGTATAAGATAATTTGTTGTGTGACACCGATGTCCAGGTGGTAAGTGTATGGACTGATAGTTACAGATTAAAAGTTGTGCAAATGACTTGTCCTGAATGTGTATGAGGACTACTTTTTAATCATCGTATTCCTGGAGGTTACCTTGTGAGTAAGGTAGAAAAAGGATATAAACATAAGTTAGGCAAAAGATTTTACTTTGCTCAAGGTACTCCTAGATACAGATAGAAAGAGTCAATTTACATTGTCCAGTAGATTTTCAAGAGGAACTTACAGTGGAAGAAGTTAAAAGACAGGTTAGAGACAAAGGATATTATTATATATATAGTGTCCTTTTCATGGTACAAAGTAGGAAAATTGTGTATTCTCTCTTTTTCTCTCTGTCTTTCTATAGTCTTTGTGATAAGAGTGATCATTGGTCACAGATCACTCGACCCGAGAAGATGCAGGTGTGACTAGATTCACGTTTAGGGAAGACGCATCTGAATTAAAACCCCGGGTGGCAGTCGAGCATTGTGAATCACTTTCATTTTTCCTTTCTTCTAAATCTGTAAAATCTTTTAGAATAGACAGAATGGGACAAGTTAAGAGTAAAAATACACCTTGTCCCGAATTAGGGGAGACATGTAAGGATTTTGTAGCATGGATTTGTGGGACTAATTATTATTTCATAAATCCATGGGTGGATAATTTAGCAGGATGGACTGAAACAATGGGCAGTTCAAGTCCGTTCCCGAGAACAGGAGATAATGACACCTTTCACATGGATATGATAAATGGATTATGTTTAGGAGATACTGAGGCTTTCCCATACTACGCGGGAGATCCACAATGGGACAAGGAGTACATGAGAGAGGGAGGAGAAAACTGGCTTAAATATGTGCCATATTGGTATGATAGGACGGATAAGAAATCAAAAAGGGTGACTGAAAATCCAAAGGATAGACAGGCACCTGGTCTACATGCTGAGAAAACTAGGAACAAGAGGATTATGGTGGCACTAAATATATATATCCACCATCTTATGTTCTAGGTCCTGAAAGGGTACCCAAAATCTACCCGTCCTTTTCGAAGGAAGATGTATATTTTCTGACGGCGGTTGCCGCACAACGAGTTCAGCCCACAGCCCCACCTCGGACTCCGGCTTTACCCGTTGTCAAAGACCAACCCGAACCCCCACCTGAAGGGGTGCTAGGTACACAGCAGCCAATCCCTGATTCCACACAGGATGAGAGGACGTCTCCTGCTGAAGGATAAGAAGGAACATCTATTAGTAGATCTGGCAAACAAAACGGGACTGGGAGAGCTCCTTAGTCCTGCACCAGCAGACAGAACTAGGTTAAAAACGGCAACACAGACCAAGCAATTCCCATTCCTCACAGTTTGAGATACATTAATAATCAAGTGTTTGGAGGTAGAGGATATTGACCGTATCACTAAACACTGTCCTAAACCTACCACTACACCAGGGGGAACACTGGCATATTTGAAGAAGGCATGTAAGGGGAGAAATTTCACACAGGAAGATATTAGATTGATTATTGATTCACTAGTTGGTACTACCTCTCAGTGGAATTGGGGAAAATTTCCCCAGTATCAATACACCCATAATTCTAGGCAACACCACTGCTACTAATTATGCTTTAAATACACAGGA